TCAATCTTTGATTACTCAATCAATCAGCAATCTTTACAATTGTCCACGTATCTATCTATTGCATTGATTCGCAGACTATCAGAATTATTTATCCGTAAAACGTAAAACTTTTAGAATTATCATGGAAAATGCATCGAACCAATATTCTTCTCACGAATCTTGAACGATATGATAATATCTTGATATATCATGATTTGACATTTTTCAATCAGAAATTATACATAAATAATGGCAAGCGAATTAATACGTCATTATAATACGCAATGATACGCCATAATAGTATCGATGAAATATTATCTCTGGAAACTTTCGTTTCAAGCGTAATTTGAAATAACATTTTTTATTTTTTGAACAATATTTATTACCTTCGAAAAATGATTTCTCAAATGTATTTAAATGTAATTCTTGAATATTTATGTCTAATAACAGTTTCCATGACGCTATTTGACATTCATTTAAGAATTTGATTAGATTACTGACTGAAAAATAAGAGAACAATGCGATTACTTGACAACGTCAGATTAAATCGTTCACAAATCGTTAAGACGATAAAAAACAACTATAAAATACAAGTTAGAAACGAACTCCAGTGCATAAAAAACTTAACAAGTTGACGAAAGTTTAAACACTAATGACCTCTAAGACACCTGAAACAAAAGTTCGATGACTCACTAACTTTTTGACAGAAAATCTCGAGTGTTCTTAATTTGAAGAGCACCGTGCTGATATTTGACATTCGAAAAAAGTCATGTAGTTTAAATTAAATTCAGGTTTTGCGAAAAGGAAAGATTTATTTGAAGGCGAGGAAATTGAGAGATGCATTGCATAAAATTCTAGGAACTAGAATGTTACTTGTTTGCACTCTTTTGCAGAACAAAAATAAGACTGGACAGCCGGAAATGTTGTATTCGGTAAACTTTTTGAGAATGATTCAACAATCATGACGACTTAACGATTTTCCCGAACTTCAAACTTCTTAAGAGCATTTCTGAAGCCAAAAAGACTCAAGACTTCCATAGCACAACCATTTTGCTGCTTAACTTATGGAAAAGATGAAGCATAACGCAAGCCAAATTAATATTTATTTCCGTTTTTATTGTTTTGCTTTGCGTAGTTTAAAAATACTGCTTAATGCACTTCTGGCCCTCTACTGACTATTGTGAATTACAACAAGTAATACAAAAATAAATGAACGAAAAGAATTTTGAATATTTATTGTCGGAATTGATTGGATTACTGTCGGGACAAAAAAAAAAACAGTTTTACACATGGTGAGGAGTATTTTAAAGATTTCATTCTCTTCCAGCGAAAAAAATTAGTCTAAAACATTTCTAAATTAAACCCAAACAATTTTTTCTTGTCTCTAAATACATCAAATTCTCAGAATCGCTTAATCGAATCTAAATCTAAAGAAAACTTGATATCATCTACTGGCCGCCTGTAATTTTTTAAGTAAACCGTAAATAATAAATGTTTAATATTTGTTGACTCGTCTAGCTGCACATATTACTCTCCTTCACTAAGGGCGAGTTTTGTTTACATTTGAAGCTCATTTGTCCAATTGGATGAATATGATGGTTTTAATTTCAGGCTGCGCTATGCCAGACTGAAAGTTTTTGTCGCCTGGCAGGCATATTTCAATGAATAAATAGCAGTAATGTGGTATGGAGGCAATGTGGAATGGATGCAATGTGGTATGGATGCAATGTGGAATGGATGCAATGTGGTATGGATGCAATGTGGTATGGATGCAATGTGGTATGGATGCAATGTGGTATGGATGCAATATGGAATGGATGCAATGTGGTATGGATGCAATGTGGTATGGATGCAATGTGGTCGGGATGCAATGTGGTATGGTTGCAATGTGGTATGGATGCAATGTGGTATGGTTGCAATATATATGGTATGGATGCAATGTGGTATGGATGCAATGTGGTTTGGATGCAATGTGGTATGATTGCAATGTGGTTTGAATGCAATGTGGTATGGTTGCAATGTGGTATGGTTGCAATGTGGTATGGTTGCAATGTGGTATGGTTGCAATGTGGTATGGTTGCAATGTGGTATGGTTGCAATGTGGTTTGGATGCAATGTGGTTTGGATGCAATGTGGTATGGATGCAATGTGGTTTGAATGCAATGTGGTATGAATGCAAATTGCAATGTGGTATGGTTGCAATGTGGTATGGATGCAATGTGGTATGAATGCAATGTTGTATGAATGCAATGTGGTATGGATGCAATGTAGCATTTTGCACTGGCAAGGTAGTATGGTGGCTACAGTTATTGAAGAAACTTTTCAAATGATGCCAAAATCATAGAATGAGTGAATAAAATAGTTTACCTATGGAGATAGATCTTAGAAAACGTCCAAAAAGATTAGTAGAAAATGTTCAAGAAATTATTCTTACTGCGCAAACTGAAATAAATTTTTTACAAATGTATACATGGTGTCATGAATAACAAATAATATTAAAATAATTAAGATAATGATACAAATTACAAGCTGCATTAATAGGAAACCTAAGTTATATATATTCTAGCTGTATTAATATATAAAATACGGAAATCTCAAACATATATAATAAACTTTTTACGAATGAGCTACTTTTATTTCCTGTATCGAGTGTGTCCTACCTAAAATGGGACCGACTGTCCTAATGAACACTTCTTACTTCCGACTCGTGTTCGTGGTTAGATGAGTTGATTTAACCCAAGTTTCCGTACACTCAGAGAAATGTGAGATCATTTGTCCATAAGAACTATCATACCTATGCACTTTTTGCTCCTGTGTGGCAGTGTGTGTCATCTTGAGCAGTTTTGGCCGGGCATTACGGTGTACCAGTGCTAAGTGCTGGGAAGTGTGTCACTATTTTATTTGAACTGTTTGAGTCTCTCATTTTTCTGAGCATAGACCTGAATGAGCTCTTAATGAACAATTAAAGTTTTCTGATCGAAGAAAAAAATCAGGCGGAAACTCATATAACGTATACTCAATTAATCACAAAATATTCCGAAGAAGACGATATTTTCAAGTGAATTTCATTGTCACTTAAGCAAATTGTGACTATTAGCAAAAATAGAATGAATCATAACTGGATAAAATGCTGAAACTCGTGAATACATGATCAACTTAGTGTCCGGCACAGATTTTCCTGTTTCTATACATTCAGAAACTATTTTGCGCTAGTGAGTCCAATTGTTCAATATCCGAGGATTGCTTTAGGTTTCAGATTCAAACTCTGATTGTGATTAGATGTCCATTTTCCGATTTTGTAATTAATTTTTAGTCGATGGCCACTGAATATTTTTTTAACCTGATGATACACTGAATTGAACAATTGTCCTGAACTCAGTTACCGCGATATTTTCCATCGCTTTTATAGCGTCATGTTTCTAAGGTTTTGGCTGTCACGCAAAAATTCATTAGAGGCATTCTTTTATCTATAATCCGTAGAAAATATGCTAATTGGTTAATTGAGGTAAATATCGTTAGCTAACTCAGAGAAATGAGTGGGGCTTCGCCTTAATAACGATGCAATTTTTGCCCTTGTTTTGATCCTCCTGACCCATTTTGGCTCAGCAAAAGGAATTTCTGACCCAGTTTGGCCCGGTAAAAAGACTTCTGTGTTAAGTCCGTCCCTGCTCGCGCTTTGGGTAAATAAGTGTGTTACTATTCGGACAATGTGACCATTCATCTTTCTTAGTGCAACGCGACTGACTGAGTCGCCAGTTTACATGTTCTAAATTCAGCTGGGGAATTAAACTCATGAAAAAGATTTATTTTTAACTTTTTTATTCAAGAAAGCGACTAGATATTCAGAGCAGTCGTCTCAAATATATAAAACAATCTATTATTCTACCAAACCTCTACTGTACACAATATCCTTCTACACACGTGATGTATAAAGCTAAATATTAGCGCAATTTATTTAGTTCACTGATCCAATTTGGATGTTGATCTATAGACACACATTTTTTCTAATATTATTGTGAAAGATTGCAATAATTTCTGGATCGTTATTAATTGGGATCCCCGAACAGTGAATCGATGTGTTAATGAATTCTTAATAAATAATTTTAAACGATAATACCGAAATGCCTTCCATTTGACCTAATACAGCAGAAATTTTGAGCTCAACAGTGCAATTAAAAGTTTACCACCAGCGTTCACAAAAATATCTAGGAACAAGATCCACGAATTGGTCGAGCAATCACAACCTACAGTGTAGATAACATTAAACATCATAACAATACTCATTTAATTAATAAGCGAGTCCATTAATATTTGCATCATAACAAACAGGTTCTTGCGTCTCAAGAACAATCGGTAGAAAGACGGTAACAAGAATCGAACAACCATAGTTATTGATGCTCCAAGCGTGCTGCAATGATTGTGTCTCTACATTATTTCTAGTTGCTGAAGATATTCCTAGTCTCTTTTCTAAATCTATTACATCATATCTTTTATATACACAAAATATTACAATAAATGTTATCACAGGCACTACTCTTCAAATTTAGTCGATCGAGAACATCGAAATATTATATTTTTCAACCACGCCACAAATTATCTAAGGAATTAATTCTGGGCTAACGAGAATAATTCAGAACTCGTAATTTAATTCAAGGCTGTGACAGGGAATCAAGATTACCTGTCTTGACAAAATAATAATATTGAAATAATAATCCTAATAATAATAATGAACTGTGCATTGAACCGTTCAGTTCCTCTAATGAGTATATGAATTATAATTATATCCCTCATATAAGCTCATATATATATCCTTATATAAGCTCCATCATAAAAATATTTTTTGAAAAAGTCGAAGTTATTTTAAATTCGTCAAATCGATGGGTACTCAATAATTAATTTTGATTTAAGAAATTACTAGAGTTAACTGGACTAAGGTTTTTATTTATACTTCTCGCTAAAACATTTGATAGAGTATTCATCATACTAATTGAAATTTAAATCGATGAAAAATGAATTTTTTTAAATTTTTAATGAAGCTTGAAAGAATCATCGTCAATTTTTTCATGATATAGAATGTGATACTAAAATTCAACTATGGCAGGTTTAACGAAAGCCAACTCATGTTTCGGAGTCAATTTTTCAAAAATATTCCAACATGAGTCTTGCAGCATCGCTAAAGTGAACGATAAAAGCACCACGTTGCTCGTGACACCAAAGTAAACATTGGACACAATAGAATCTTCTGAAACTTTACCTTAAAAAAATTCCGAAACCCTCGACAATTTTAGTAAATTGGCACAATTCAGTCAAGTTCACTAGCCTGAGCCGCTCTCACCTCTGCTATCGCCGAAACAATCTAGTTTCCGTAACTCAAACCCTAACTGAAACCTAAGCTAACGACATTTTTACCTGGTGAGTGGTCTTTACCCGCTCCTCGCTTGAAATAAAGCAAACTGGACGCACGACAGACATCATAAAGATAAGCTTTTGAAAGCGCCAGCAAAACTCGATACTATAAATCTAGGCGAGGGATGAAATTCACAGAGACGTGACTGGACTTGAACAAGAGATGGCCACGGCATCGCACGATGAGCTCGGGTCGCCAGAGACTTTTAAAGCCTTGGCAGTCTCTTTTGAGGACTTCTGTGCCGCTTTTCTCGGAGAAGTAACTTCTGTCTCAGCTGATTTATGGGATTCAACTGCAGCAGAAAGAGGGGACTCTCCATCATCTGGTTCATAGAGATCATCCAAGATATCAGTAGAAGAGAGTTGGGAATCATCTACATTAAGAGGCTGATAGCCAGTATTAGCATTGCTGCTGCCTACGAGTTTACTCAAGAGTCCACTATTGTGCTTGAAAACATCGTTCAAAGAATGTGTGCTCATTTTCATATAATCTATTCTATTGTTCAAATTTGCCTGATGTTCAGCAGGTTGCTTCTGGACGTAATGTCGAGACATGCAGCCATTTTGTTCTTCAAGTTCTGAGTGAGATGAGTAATCTAAAACGATTGCAGAATCCGGAGACGTATCCAGAGCACTGTTTCTCTGGGAATGATTGCAGTTTGAAACTCTGCTATGTGAATTGTGGAGTGGTAGCATCAAATTTCCTGATATTTTATTAATTAAATGATGGGATGCATTAGAGTTACTGGCGTGCCCTCCATGTGCTTGTCTGCTGTCAAAATCTTTGAAGGTTGCAGAGTTTTGATTAATGCCAGCCGAGTTGTGGACTTGAGGCAGCTCATAAAGGGGGTCGGGGATTTGATCTTGCATATAATTTGAGGCTAAAATATGAGGGCTGCTGTAAATCTCACTGGAAGTTGAGGGAATGGATTTAGTGTAGTACGGAGTTACATCGTAACTTGGGTCTTCGATCTCGCAATAAATATTGTGAGTTTTCTGAGGTCTCAGAGTATAAGTAGCCACCCGACTGACGACCGGGATATCTGTCTCTATTATCGGTACAGGGGCACAATAGTATCGGGGCCGGGGAAGGGTCCGGCTGTTGAGAGAAGAAGAATTAACTTGCATGGCTTGGTGGGCCGACGAGTGGTCAGGCAGACGACGTTCTTGCTCGGCCAGGTTCGGAGAATAGCCATCGACCGGACCCTCCTGATCTCGGGAGCACACGTCCGGTTTTGGCAAGTTCCAACGGATGGTAAAATCGCCAGTCGACTCGTAAGTATTTTCATTTGTTGCTTTGAAATTATGGACAAAATTTCCGTTCATTGTGTTCGCTTTCTTCTGCATTGTTGAAGCCAGTGCATAATTAGATGCTATGAATTTTTTCCCGCGCGTTGGACTCTCACCATTAAGCTTGTTGCACTTGCTGGATGGTTCATATGAAGTTCCGACAGAGAATATTTTCTGCTCATTTGTGTGGGAATTCGATTGTTTGATCGTAAGAGTTGCTGCCGCGGCAAGCAACGATGCGCACAAAAATATTTCGATAAGACGCTCAAAACTGACCAAGACCCACCATGACCAGGTTTTGAGGCCTCCTTGTTGGTTCATTTGAAATTCCCGACTGAAAATGTGATGAAATGAAAAAACGATGAGAATGGCCTGCAGCAGAACAGCCAAGCACATCACAGCACAAGTGTATTGAGGTAGCACCACCCTTCGTTTCGACACTCGAATGAAAGATTGATAAAGAAGACAAACATATCCAACAATGAGAACCATATTCCATCCAATGGTGAAACACTGGATTCCAGTGACAAGTTTACGAGCAGAATCAGGATAATGCAAGACTCCGTTGGATATATCGATGAGCACGCTGGTTCCTATGTGTATTCCAGTAACAACGGCCAGAACAAGAGGCGACTGAAATTTAGCCGGAAGCAGAGAGAACCTGGAAGCTCTCAGCAAGATCAAGAGCATGAGGGCGAACGCAGTCGAGAGAATAGGAGAAACTGAGTTCATAAGTAATGAGATGAGAGCTCTGGGTAACTTTCCTTCCAGTCCATATGGATCATGAAGGAGAATAATACAACGCAAAGAGCCAGCGAGTAAAATAAGCAATTGTAACGTGACGTAGTGGCCACGTGGGATAAGATGAGTGCACGTGTGAATGCGGCATAAACTTACAAGTGAAATCAAAACAATGAGTCCCATCAAAATTCCTGTCATATAAATGTGAACGTGCATTGTTTGTCCTATGTTTGTCTTCGATAGGATGTAGCTGTCTGGTTTGGTTGGAGCGTTTTGTGATATAGGAGAGATGCTTGAAATGACGGATGGGTAATATTCGCGGCGACCATTATGGGCTTCATGTTCATTCCTCCTGTCGGTCTCCATGAAGTAGTTGAGAATTCCGTTTCTTGCAGGATCTCCATATGTACCATCCACCTCTTCAGGTAGTGGCAACGATGATTCAAAAGCTTCTACTGAATTTTCATTTTCATGTAACTTTTCTATCATTTGCAGCCTGGTAGACGTCTTGTAAACTGGTACTACCGTGGAAGTCGTGGTAGAGGTGGTTGTGGTTGTAGCCGTGGTGGTCTCAGGGAGTTTAGATATGACTGAAGATTCAGTAATTCCGTAAGCAACACCTCTAAAAATTGCCGCGATGTCTTTCTCTCTTACATTTCTTCGGGAAACTTTTTGAAATTCGCCGAGAGTGGATCCGTAACTTCTTCCCATTGATATGAGATTGCGATCAGAATTCATTTTGATTGATGAATCATCATAGAATTTATAGATCCTGTCTGCTGCGTCTATTGAATATTGCTGTGATGTTGATGAGGCTAGCAGCAGGAGTATTGACAGACAAGAAAAAACACGAGCACTCGATGCCATTTTCTTGATGGATGATCCCAAAGAAGGATTCGTCTTCGTTCTCGGCTTCCTTCAGACCGACTCGAAAAATCTGCAAGAAAATGAAAAGGAGTTAATTAAGCACAATGCATATAGAAAATAAGAATAATTGGGGACGATATTCAGTTTAAAAATTCTGATACGTATTTTGTTAAATACGATAGAACAACTTATCGTATTCTGAAATACTTATGGCTGAAAATTATGATCCAGCCCGTGAGATACAGTCAGATATTGTGAATTTAAATTTTATTTTCAAGAAATTAAACAGACCGTAAAACTGAATACGACTCTATATTTCCAGCACCCAGACATCATAAAAACCACCGCATGCATAAAAATTCGTGCCTCCTAAATTCGGAGACATCGTGCCGTTTTGGAGCTTATCTCGGTCATCAGGGACGAAATTTTCAGAATAAATCCGAGTTAAAACTTAAAGTCCCCAAGTCCATTTTTCCGTAAAAAAAATTCTTCAAGGCGAACGCATACACACGCCGTATCACTGATACGTCTCTTCATCACCTCAGTCTCCGGGAAGGCAAAGCGTTGAGCGAGTTTGCATTTTCAAGTTATGGAAAGAGGGCGCCGTTCCCGGCGCATGAAAGGGGTTGTAAAATGAGATTTTTCTCTCCATTGACTCAGCCTCACGACCCATAAACAATCAGGTACAATTTGCTGTCGTAACGTAGCGATCGTAATTCTGGGACTAAGTTTGCAGCGCCGAAGCGCGAGTGTTGGCAAGTTCCAAAGGTGGTCGGGTAAGTTGCGTCGTGAATCTGGAGGCTCCTCGGCAAAATTCATCGAAAGTTTAATTAATTTTGCTCAGTAATTAGAAAGTTGGGAGAAGTTATGGGAGACCTGCCGTGTTTATCATTTATTTTGGAGCGAAACTGTGGCTTCAATCGGCAAAAAGATGAGCAAGGAGCCTGGCGTGTAACATTAATTCTAGAGTGAGAAACATTAATTGCTGCCGAGCTCACACCAACACCTCGTGAACTCAATTGCTGTGAGCGCAGCTTTAATCGCACAAATGAGCGGCCGTTACGGAGATCGTTTTTCCCCTCTATAGATGATTTGACGGCAATAGAATTACTGCATTTTTTCTTGCTATAGATGACGAGAATTCAGTCGAGAAGCTGTGTTGTTTCTGTGATGACTCGAAGGTGTTTTTTTTTTTGCCAGCGATAAAATGCAAAGACTAAACAAATAATTCCCTCCAAATGATCATATATTTCAAAGAGTTAGTTAAACACTATTTTCATCATAAAAATTCACGCAGTGTATCTTACAATTTATTTTCATTAAATTTTTAGATTTTCATGATTAACAATTATTCAGCCAACAAAATTATCAAATATCTATAATATTTTCGTCTAAACGTTGAAAAAATGAGTACTTGATTTAAAATGTAGTGAAATTTATTTAAATCTCTATAGTGGAGCTATAAGAAACGCGCAGAGCGAATCTCATTTATTTCCTCATTTAAATAGGAAAATGTTAATTTTTTACATTTTTTGTATATAATTCCGCGAAATGATTGAACGTTACACGATTCCACCATATTATGTACAGAATAAAATAGTTCAGGTAACTCCTCGTAATAATTTGTCGGGGATATTCTGTGGCTTCAGAGAATGCATTAGGGAAGCGATCTGGAAACCGCATTCATTAATCATGTGAAGAATAAAAATTATGGCCGTGGTAAGTTTGGCCGCCGAAATGCCGCCGATGTGCCAGATGGAATATTGTGAACTGGAGGTGTGAGACTCAAAATGAGGTGAAACACGCTCAAGTATTTCGCTATATCTTTTTCAGTATGAAAGTTTCTCCGGTATATTAGATTATTGAAAGGCTTCGAAATACGATTCTACTTTCGGAAATACCCTAAGATTTAATATGTTAGTTTCGCACCATAATTCAATGTAATATTTTAACATAACCGAATAATTTTGTGGGAATGAAGATCAGGTCATATAATTTGCTCTTAATTTTTTTAATTTAAAACTATTCTCAGATTTCAATATAAATATTTTTAACGTTGTTCAAATGTCCAAACACTTCGCTCCACACAATTTATAATGATAATAATTCACAGTGTTAAATAATCCTGAACTCGTATGACCAGCCAGCCTAATACCTACCCCCTGTAATATATTTCCACGCACTCAAAAAAATAATTGGATCATAAGTCATGAATAGTGACACAACTTCTTACTTTCGGCACAAGTAGCGAGTGGACGTAGCACTGATACGCCTCTATCCCGGTCTAAACTGGGTTAATATAACCCACCCACGTGCAAAATATGCATCGTTATCTGGACAAAGTTCCACTTATTTACCTGAGTGTGGGATTCTGGATACTAAAGCTCGCGGCTCTGTTGGAGAACCGCAAAAAGCTCAACGCGCTCCCACTAACATTTCTCTAAATGTAGAGAAAGATTAATGAGGCTCTGAACGTAAGAATTGTTCTGGGTCCCCACCACACCCTCGTCCTTCCCTCTTTAGGGAGCTCGTTCGTCAGACCAATTTTCATTTATCATTATTGTCCTTTCAAACTGTGATCGGAAACCTCTCTATTAACAAATATCCATCGGTAACTTGTAATATTTATATCAAGGTTTCATGATGCTTGAAATTGACTTTTTCTATATGGTACTTTAAAACTGTAAACGTATCCCAGCAAATTGGAAAATATCCGTCCATTGTTTTTCAATTTCATAACAATATTTTATGATACTTGAAATTAACTAAGTGGTCGTTTAATCTTAAGTTCGCATTCAGCGTGACATTGATCGTAAAATAACCTCCCCCTGCTATTTTTTAAATTTAAATCGCTCGCAAATGGTTCTTTTTCAGACTATGTAGCTGCAGCTTTGGTAAACTTTTCGCCCTCTCAGATTCAAATTTATAACTTTTCCTTAGATCTTTTAGAGATTCATATTCCAAATTTAGGACTCATTTTACATCGCTTAAAAAGTCTCTAAACTTCCTTGAAATTCTCGTTTGAGAACTTTAATGGTTTTTACGTCAATACAATTCCGCCCGCGTGATAAGTTATCAACCGTTGAACTGAGCCAGGATACGGCGTTACAGTGAAAGCTTTTAGTGAGCTAAAAAATCAGAAATATCTGATGGTAAGGAAGGCTGAGAATATATTATGAAAATGATTTTCTATTAATCACTGAGTCATTGCGCATTCATTTAAACATACAAGTAAAGCTTTAAACATTATATCGAACATTCATCACTATGCTCACAGTTTCTAAACGCTTATATTCATAATTTCTCATATTATGCATCACTATTAGCACTCTATACAAGCCCCTATTATTGTTATTAGTCAGATAATTCATACTACGCGGTACTATGTATATCACTATATCACCGTTATTTCTTCAAACATGCATCACCATGAGCACTCTGTTTTTACCTTTTTAATACGCATTATTTCTCCAATCATTATCATACATCAATATGCGCACTCTGTCCAGTCTGTATTATCGTTATTTTTCAAATCATATATCATCATGCGTACTAAGTCTCAGTCTATATAATTATCGTTATTCACCGTGCTCACTTTTCTCTCGTTCTCACAATTCTCCACTACATTCGTTCATTATTATTCAATGAAAAAAAGTCGGTTTGGAGGCCGAGGTTACATGGCAGCTCTCGCGGTCGCGCGTCTGTACCACAGAGTATGAATGGAATTCTCTCAGTCTGCACTTCTAACGTTAACAATAACGTAGAAGTAGCATTAAAGCGTCAGTAAAGCGCATTAAATCGCGCGTTAAATTAAGTCCTGATTTTACAACGGTCATTCATTTTTATATTGTCGAACAAACTAAAAATCAATAAATGGGCTTTTGTCATTCATATTAAATTAGTGCGATGCTTTTCTCGATGTGAAATGCATTATTTGTACGGAAGAAGTTTTGGATAACGCGAATACAATTGATTTACATTAGCAACATTTTTTGATAGGATGTATGTTCGTTAAACTTTTCTAGTTCTATACCATCTTAACAAATAACAATTTATCAGGCAAGCTTCCAGCAACAAATATCCCTAATTTTTCCGTTAATTATCTGATATTTTAAGATCCAGAGACTCAAAATAACTAACTTATTTCTACCTGGTGTAGTTTATATTTTATTATGAAAATATAACGCAAATAAAAGAAACTGAATCTACCGAGTTGAGTGAGCCCGTCCCCAGTCTCCCACACCGCGAGTGTCGTATATCGTCGTGTTGTGGTGCCCGCACACTCAGAAAAATAAGTGGGACTTTATTGAAGTGGTGAAGCACTTTGGGCCCATGTGCTGGTCCTATAGGCACGGTTTGGGCAGGCAAGAGAGCCAGACCAATTCTGTCCTACCTCTTTGCTCGTGCCGTGCGTAAGAAAGTGGGTCATTATTGGCCTATATGACACACTTATTTTTATGAATGTGGAGAGACGTCAGAGATTCCCACGTGCGGTTTAGGAGTCGCGTTCAAATGACGACCAGGATACCAGAGAGACAGACCCCTGACCAGGATACCAGAGAGACAGACCCCTGACCAGGATACCAGAGAGACAGACCCCTGACCAGGATACAAGGATACCAGAGACACAGACCCCTGACCAGGATACCAGAGACACAGACCCCTGACCAGGGTACCAGGGAGACAGACCCCTGACCAGGATACCAGAGAGACAGACCAGGTACTTTGATAACCGAAAGTTCTGCGGGATTTTTTAATTCTGATTCTATTTCCGCGATTGGCAATATTCTTGCCGTCGATTTCTTGCAGCTTGGATTGTCTCGCGATATTCTGGTGATTTCTCGCTCAGAAAACTGAGAGAAACTATGGCCAAATAGCGATGCACCTTTTGCTTTATGTGGTTATCCCACGTTATCCCACTTTTGGCGCGGTGAAAGGGGTGTATCAGTGCTACGTGAGGAATTTGGCTCACTATTTGGACAATATGATCCATCAGTTTGTCCGAGTGCTGGGACTACGGCCACTGATCCAGGTTAACATTGTAGCTGTTAACCGTCCACGGCCCCCTGCGTCGCTCTAACTATCCCGCCGTGGGGGGCCCTGCCGTGGGGGGCACCGCCCCCCCGCTGTGGGGGGCGGTGCCCCCTCCAGGGTACATCGTCAAGACTCGGCATTTCAAAGATTGCTTCAAAAGTCACATCACTCACAGAAATGAGTGAGGCTTTAACCAAATAGCAGTGAGTAAGATCAAAATGACTCGTACAAACGCAAAAAGTGCATCATTATTTGAAGAGAGCATTAGTTATTTTTTTCAGTGTGCACAAGCTGATAAATTTCAAAGCTTTTAATTAAGTCGAATATTTGAAGATTGAAAGATTCATATGAATATCAAAGCGGCAATTGCGGTGTTGATATTAGTTTTAAATAAATATATTTTCTGTTGTACTCCGCATACTCAAAAATATCTTAGACTTCTTAGCAATAATGCGCAATATTTCTGTGAGTATTATTTTTTATTGAACTTTCATAATCAATATCTCAAAATAAAGTCTTTCCTCTGAATATGCTTTAATTTAATCGTATAAGATGCCGCTGGGTAGGTGGTGATTTATTGACCAAAACCTGGCAAGAAATGGGATACGGTGCAGTAAATGGCTTTATATAATACCCAATATCTTTAAAATTCAGTATACGATCAAAGTCCTGAGATCATCGAAGGAATTAATTACACGTTACACTGAATGGCCTTTCATCATTACACTGAATGACCTTTCATCATTACACTTTATGACCTTTCATCGTTACACTGAATGACCTTTCATCATTACACTGAATGGCCTTTCATCATTACACTGAATGGCCTTTCATCATTACACTGAATGACCTTTCATTATTTGAGTTTGGAGGTCCCTACAGTTCCCAGTGATACTCTTCTTTAAAAAATATCTTGAGGTGTATTTTTTTTCATTTAGTTCAATAAGTCATCTAGATGGCTATCACGCTCAAGGATGATCAGTCGCGGCAGGCCATGTCGCTCCTTCCGTCCGTCTTAATCGAGACAGCTTAGGCAGGATTATGTGCTTATAAATACATATTAGTGAGCAATAAATGCGGATTAGGTTTCAATGCCTCAAGATGCGCCTGCCTGCGCGTAAAGATCGCTCGATATAAGCACGCCAAGGCACGTTTAGTCACGTTCCGCGGTCAAATGTCAACAAAGAAACTGAAGCTTTTGTCATCCACAGACTCCCATGAATGGGATCTTGTTAGTAACGTTTCAGTAATGGTTTTTCCGGACGATTTTAGAGCCTGGCATCAATCGGAGAAGATTGACGGTCACGACGAGTGTTTATAACATTTTAGTGATGGTTTTCGGTGACAGTTTAAGAGCGGTAAACAATCGGGAGAAATAGATGGTCAAGAAGAGCACAGTGCGGAGAACAGTTCCAAACTTGACGCAATTCAAAATTAATTGAAAATGTCTCTAGATAACAATGAACGAGTCTTCTTAGCTCACGCGCACCTAAGAATATAGTGAGATCATCGAGACCGGCACCAATCTGTTGTACTTTGATCTATTTAGGACTTAGTGAAATTCATTGAAAAGAGCTTGAAAATGATGGAACTTCCTGTCATCACTTAAAAATTAAGAAAATGGAATATGTCAAAAACGACATATGATGGGCATAAAGACCCGAAGAAAAGTGAGAAAAGTCTTCTCAGTCGAAAGAAATAGAAAATCTGTATATTTAAAGATATTAATCACTTATCAAGTTCAAGTTGTACTTGAAAAAATAAAAATTCTACTTACGAACAGAATTTTATTCAGCCTATTACAATTTAAGATAGAAAGTTGTCCAGCGTATGTCTACTAGTATGTAAATATTGACATTCATTATATGAAAAAAAAAGTCTACACTTTTTTCCCCGATACTAGCACGATAAACTATGCCAACTTTTTTCATTGAAAATCCGGGAATTTATGTTCTCATCCACGACGGCATTGAGATTAGAATTTAATTAGCAAGTGGCTTGCAGTTAATGCGATTGACGGTAAATTTATCGACTTTTTCAATTATGACTTCGTTATTTCGCATTCACCATCAAGGTGGCACCGAAACGATCAGTTCATTAGAAAGTTCTCCGTATATAATTCTGTAGAAGATAAATGATAAAAAATAACATTTCCTCAACAATAATTTAAATATTTTATGTATTTCTTTCCGACGCCTTCTTCAGAATAATGCGTCAATTAACAAAAGATTCGCACTTGTTTCAATTGAAGTTTTATTGACTTTAATTAAGGTTGCACCGTATGTAAGTAGGTGGTAATATTCATATATATTATTATTTAAATTTCTTTCTGTGTAGGCTGGTCTATAGGATAAAGCGCTGCATAAAAGATTATATACTCTCAGTAGAAAATGAAAGTTTGTGCGGGCAATCAATTATATTTATAAGAAATCATATCAAATATTAGCAATGTAGAAAAAGAACTAATTATTAATGATCTGAATGGATGACATTGATGTTAATGGGATAGAGCGTTTTACATTTAACGTGTTCGTGACAACTGCACATATATTTGAATTATATTTTAAGAAAAATATTTTATTCGCAATTTGTTAATTGAGTTTCTATGGTTCAAGTTGATTATATTTTAAACTTAGGTTTAGGAAATTCTAAATTTAAACTTTCTTACTGCCCAGAATTGCGAAAAGGGTAGAAAATAGCGTTCATATAAATTTTTCCTTTTCCTAAAAATTTTTGACTGCTATAGCATTCAGTAAGAAATTAACAAGCGGCATGGCACTTTTTCGTTATGATATGCCGCTGTTGATAAACTCCACTTACTCCAGTGATGGGAAAACGACCAGGGAGAACGCCACCACACGACTGTGACCAATTTAACGTAATCGTTTCTCAAGCAGCATGCGGAGGTGAAAATACGAGGTTTCGCTTCAACTTCACTATCCCGAATTTTAGAAATTCAAGATTTTTTTAACTTATGAACGAGTAAAATAAAAGTAAGTGCACTTTGTGTACTGTTTTGTTGACGTAAAAAACATGAAAAAATTGTTGAAGAAGTTACAAAAATTAAAGAGCTTTAATTAGAAGTCAACTGACGGGACAAAATTTCAAAGCGACATGTATAGTGAAGACTCGAAAAACGTTTAAATTATTAAATTAGTTAATTAAACAGAGAGATCTTTTCTTATATTTTTTTTGTTGTCTGGCTTCAGCAATGGATTTACCCTAAGTGCAGCCAATTGATTTATGAAGAATTTGTTATGGCCGATGTCAGTTTATGGTACATTTTATGACATCAATTGGCAGACAGAGACTTGCCTTCATGTTCATGTGAAAATTCTTCTGCCTAAGCCCCTTATAGAAGATTTTATTATATCAAATAAAGTTATTCTGTTTTCTTATTTATTTCTGTCAAAGATAAAAATTCATGATTCATATTCATTAATATGATTTCTCGAAAGGTAACAAAGCATGTTTATTTCATGCAGTTAAACTGCTGGTACGATATATCAGAATTATACTAAAAAATATTCGTGTTGTGAAGGCATCAATAAATATCGCCGCAGACCTCCGCAATAAATAGATATGATCGCAGTTCTATGCAGACTATTTAAGGCGGAAATTGTAATGCTTATTATTATTAGCTTATAGAATACAGGAGCAGCTGATAGTGTAAATAGTTCACTTTTACAAGGTGAATAATTCAAGCTTCGGTGCACTGAGAATGATCTCCATAAAAAATTAGAAGTGATCAAAATTTAAATTAGGTAATTATGCCCAATCAACCGTCTTAAATGCACAGAATTTAATGCAGAATATGAAATTTAATATTTGAGAGATGCAAGGAGATTTAATCATAAATGAACTTACCTTCAATAAGTTTTTTTTTTGACGGACGATCTTCAGTAACAACTGCAATTTCCTAGCACAAATCTGTTTCCAAATCACCAGTTAGAGAAAGTCTTCTCTTTATATTTCAACTAAGAATTCAACAGTTATGTCTCGACGCTCTTTCAATAAACAAGTAATTGATTCAACAAATCAAAGTTGAGCCTTGTTTTTGCAGGTAAGTTCACTCGACGAAGCCGTAAAGTTCTTGTGGAACAACACCGCGTCAGTGGAGGTTCAGGAGCAGCGAGCGTGACACCCTCGCTCGCCGAGCTTCAGAATGTGACTGGCAACTCGCTGCCCCGCACTCCTATTTATCTCTGTCGCCAGACCTGAAAATCTCACCAAGCTGTCATACTAACGATCTGCTGAGATTTCCGAACACAATTCGAGTGTTACCTCAATTTTGAACATATATCTCTATTACAATAAATAATTGTAATTATATATAATTGAGTAAAATAATTCGAATAAGACTTTCATCATTAAAAAAAAATTATTATTATTATACCATGAACATAAACACATAGAGTGATTTATAAACAAAATGTTTTCTCATACATAGAAAGCTAAATCAATTGAGACAAGAATAATTTATTTAACGGTCAACAAAAGTTAATTTAGAAGAATAGGTATAGAAGAGCATGTTAGACTTGACCTGCACCTTAGCACGACTTGGGTACGGTGGCTGGGTGGGCTCTCCAGCTCTCCCGATACCGTCTCGAATTATCCCTAAATGCCTGGAAATCCTGGTAATCCATGACGAGTTTTGCTCATTTGAGTATCATACTAAAATCTTAGATTTATTTACATCCAGCCATGCAACGGCCGCCGATAATTCGGACAAAATTCACAATGTGGTACGAAGTATGGCTTCGAAAGAAGCAGCTACAAGAAACAGGTATTTACTTGACTGCGTTTGTTTACGAATTTCTGTGGAAGATTCTTGTTAATTTATGAAGGATTTAGAAGATAATTATCGGACTAAACGAAGTGACATTCTGCGGTTAATCTCTGTGTGAAGTTATTACGAGCTCAATTTTAGTACCGTAGTTTATAGATTATATCGATGCCAGCTAGGCACAGAAAATAAATTGTTTATGTTTATAATGTGGAATTTAAGTGAGAAAACATTGTTCATTTGGAGACAAACTTCAATATGATTTGCCTTTCTCGAGCAATTTTAATCTTGTATTCATCGCTCCTGTATTAATTTTAATGAAAAAACTGCCATTTTTGGGGTAAATTACATCTCAACAAATTGAGTAAAATAAAGAAACTTGCAACATTAAAGAATGAACATTTTCTATGACTGGCCATACCCTTTTTTAATTTATTTAGATTTAGACACCATACTTTTTTTATCTTATTATTACTTGATAATTCTGTGCAGTTTTTTTTAATGCCCTGTATATTGTTCACCTTACTGATGCTGAAAAACTGCCACTATACATTTCCATAAATATACCATATCTTATTTTGGCTCGATATCCTAATTTACAAAGTCGTTTTCTAATGGAACTATGATCTCAGAAAGTGATGAGTCATGTGTGAGACCCATCAGCAAAAAAGTCATTTTTAGAGACACAAAAGAGTTATAGAGAGCCCCGGTATTTCATTTATCTTTTAATTACTTCTGGGGTTAATGCTAAATGGTAACGAGCTTCCGAGTGCTTGAGGTCAACTAAGATGGATTCCATGACGCCTTTTCACAAAGAAATTCGTCAACAAATGAGCTTACCTAACCAGTAGCCAGAAAATTTTTTTTTAATTGCGGCTACTGTTTACAACTGTGGGAGTAAACGCGGCTTGTATAATGAAACATGAATTGTCATACATTATTAATGAAACATACTCTTTCGTGTGATTTTTATTTCATGTTTCTACGTTTAATACTTTACAAATTATAAACTTTTACTTTTATCAACTTTTTTTGGGGTCACCCTTTTTTACGTAATTCGATTACATATGAATCTAACCTTTACAAAAAAAAAAAAAAAAATAGCTGGATTCTAAAACTTTTTCTGTAAAGATATATTGAATTTTTGTGATATATTCTTTACTTTCAAATTTCTGGTTAACGAAACATATCTTGTGATGAATTTTTTATTATTTTAATTTTTTACATCGTGTTTACTATTCTTACGGAAATTACCTTAAAAAACATATAAGATACAATAACAATATACATACAATCTCCAGTGTGGCAATTATTATTAGTAGTATTATAATTGTTAAAGAGATTTAATCATGATCTTATAGTCGGAGATTCAAAACTCACATTCCAAAAATTTGTCTTAAGTAACATAGAATAATTCTAACCGAATAAAACCTGCTAATTTTGGCATGAGGAACGTAAAAATGTACAAAAAGTTTTCTTATGAACAATGTATTATTTTCTGGGTTATTTTCTGATATATAAATTTTTTCTATGCATCATTCCTTCATTCCTTTACTCGAACAAGTAGTTTTCCATTTATAAATAAATATGTAATTATATAATATGTATTTAAAGGCAAGTAATCATGTACATCAAATGGGACATGCTTCATCATGCTCCACGTACGTAGTAACTGCATGCGTTCAAGCAGTAACGTTACGCAGTAACTTTCCTACTCGTACGTAGTGAAGAGAACGGGCATTAAGGATGCTTAAGGAGAAGCAACTCATTAGCAGGGCAGCGATTTTCCCAAGGATTAGGGACCACAGTCACGCTAGGAATTCGCGCCGAGGCATGCTCACTCTCACGCTACCTGCTGCTGGTGCCGAGGCATGCTCACCCTCACGCTACCTGCCACTGGTGCCGAGGCATGCTCACCCTCACGCTACCTGCCACTGGTGCCGAGGCATGCTCACTCTCATGCTAACTGCTGCTGGTGCTGAGGCATGCTCACTCTCACGCTACCTGCTTCTGGTGCCGAGGCATGCTAGCTCACTCTCACGCTACCGGCCGCTGGTGCCGAGGCATGCTCACTCTCACGCTACCGGCCGCTGGTGCCTTAGCGTGCCTTCATCGACTTTATCTCAAGATGTCTGCTATGATTAACGCTTCGATTACTTACAAGTGCGCTTGACTTTTATATATTCATAGACAATGTATTGTAGACTTCTACGTATTTATAGGCTATGTATTATAAACTTCTATGTAATAATAGGCTATGTAGTCTAGACTTATATGTGTTTATAGGCCATGTAGTCTAGCCTTCTATACATTTCTTGGCTATGTATTCTAGCCTTCTATATATTTATAGACTATGCAGTCTAGACTTCTGTATATTTATAGGCTATCGATTCTAGACTTATAAACTAGCTTTGTTTTGACTTTTTTTTTCTTTCAAAAATATGCACTTGGTATGTAAAGAATCATATAAATTAAGTCATTTTCAGAATTTTCATAATACGAATCTGACAACATTTTAGGTTTTGTTGTTATTTTTCTGCTAGAATATCTCAGTTCTAAGCATTGATTTACTTCTGCTGCTTCGCGTATGGTTCGCGACATATTTAATAATAATTTTTTCGTAATAAAAATGGATAATTTTACTTTTGAGTTCATGTTGATATCAACATTAAAAAGAATATTATATTGAACCTCATTCGCATATATCTAATCTGAAGATTTTTTTATGTTTATGCAGATATACACTTCATTCATAACAAATTTACCAATTTATTTACTATTATATTTTGAAACTCATTTGAGTACACAGTACTACTTTCTCCTAATTCCCCTTCTTGTGAGGAATTCCTCCCACGCCGCACCAGCTACACCTCGTCATTCCCCAACCGTTCAGGCCCCATTACTAGACCTCGACTTCCCCTTGGTCTGCCACCATGTCAGACCCCATTAGCCCCTCTTAGCAGACCATCCTCACTCATTACGAGACGTTTGTGGCATGTTCAGATACTGCGATGTTTGTGGCATGTCCAGATACTGCGATGTTTGTGGCATGTCCAGATACTGCGATGTTTGTGGCATGTCCAGATACTTCGATGACGATGTTTGTGGCATGTCCAGATACTGCGATGTTTGTGGCATGTCCAGATACTGCGATGTTTGCGGCATGTCCAGATACTTCGATGTTTGTGGCATGTTCAGATACTGCGATGTTTGTGGCATGTCCAGATACTGCGATGTTTGTGGCATGTCCAGATACTTCGATGTTTGTGGCATGTTCAGATTCTGCGATGTTTGTGGCATGTCCAGATACTTCGATGTTTGTGGCATGTCCAGATACTGCGATGTTTGTGGCATGTTCAGATACTTCGATGTTCATTACAAATTCAAGGTTTGACTGGTCGTGATTTTTCCATGTGTGCTACTACCATAACGACGTTGCCATATATGGTACTACCATAGCGATGGTACCGTACATTTGTACCGTTAGTACATTTGTATCGTTTCCGGACTTTGATAATCATCATGTTGTTTATGATGTGATGATAAAGATTGTGGAGAAATAGCGTGCGAAAAAATGGTATTCGTGTCGGCAGAATAGCAAGTGGTTCGGAACTATCTTCGAGGAAGGTTCAGAACAATTTTCCATTGTTGTTCGGAACCATTTTTTCTTTATACTTCATAAGCTTAAAATACACAATAAATTTATCAATAATCAAGGAAAAATCTAAGAAACAAACCGCACATTCAATGATTTTTGGATACAAATTTAATTATTTTAACTAAGATAAGCAAAAATAATATTTGCTGTCGTTTACCGTTTATCTCATTTGCGTTGGAAATAATTATGTTCAAGTCAAAGTTAGTTTAGCCACATGTATGGACCACTTTGTGGTCCTTGGTTCACCGCAGGGTCCAGAGTTCTGTTACGGAAGCTAAAATGTGGAGTCAGATGTGTGGGTTTTGGGTCAGCTTCTGAACGGTACGTCATCCTATCCTATGCATCCTATACACATCCTATCGTCATCGCAGGTTTTGCACACCCAAATGAAAATCTAAAAATTAGCGATGACCATATAAATAAATACTGATTTATTTATATTATTATATTTATTCATATTGATTTATATATGGATATTAATATTGACTTATATATAGATATTCAAATTGATTTATATGCATAAAATAAGTCTTAAATAAATAGCAATAAGTCTGAATAAGTCATCCTAATTTTTGCTATCACCGAATGGCAAATGCTTAGAATTAAGGCTAGACATTTTAATTAACGAAGCTGTCCCGAGATTTTATTTTCATACATAGGCTAACACTTAGGAAAAAAATTCTGGGCTAAATAAAGTCATGCCGCCTTAGATTT